GGTAATCGAATTTAGCTGCCTGAATTTATTGCCACAACAATTAAAAAACAATTTGACGCCGTCCGTTGGAGAATGAATAGCCCTTGGGCGGTGCCAAATATTTGGCTAACAATTTTTTGGTTCTCCTCTGAAGTTTGGCAACAAGGAAAGTGGCATGGAACTCTGGAAGGGATTGGGTTGAGAGGGTGGTGTAGGAGCAAGTTAGGGAGATATAAGGATACTAACTGGAACTGTTCAAGTTGCTGTCGATGAAGTTCGACAAAGCCAAAAGCTGAAGTCAAAGTGTTTTGAGGCAAGTTTCGGTTACTCGGTTATTGTTATGACAACACTTGATGTTCCTCTGCGGCGGCAGCAGTGATGGGAAAGGTCTGGGAAGGGGTTTTAAAATCCATAATTGGTTTTGATAGGGTACCTCTACCTTAGGTCTACTACCTTTGGGATCCTACTACCTTTGGTTCTAATGTCCTAATATAGTTTATAGCTACAAAGTACAAGTTATGCTTCATTTTCATGTTAAGTTTAGAACTACGAATGGTCTTTTCTTTCTGTTGTTAACTTAATTTTAATTACCAAAAATATATGTATTAAGTAAAGATCTTAACTGATGAAAACATCTAGGTTAACCACAAAATTCCTTATAAAGTTGAAAACCAAACCTTAACCCCTTACCTCCAGGCTGTTATCTCTGTGTGGTCTCGACGGCAATATCGGTTATTGAAATATGCTAGGGGCAAACTTTTGCCAGCTAGTACAGCGGCAAACTGCCTGTCTTTCGGCCACAAACTTTTCCCAGTAACTGTTACTGCCGGCTGGCTTTTGTTCTCCAGGATTAGCTGTCAGGCGATGTCGTGCGAATTGGCCCGACTTATGCAGAATTCTGGGCAATAACGATAATGCAGCGGAAGCCGATTATCGGGCTCTGGTAGCTCTACAATAGAGTGGTGTGGAGGTGCCAAATAGCAAGTGCTAAAAGGATGAGGAGGAGAAAGAGTGGCCCACCCCCCCTTTGCCGCTTTGTTGCGTAATTAGAGTCTGGCTGGAAGCAAAGTTCCAGCTGTTGCCGCATTTCAGTGTCCATTCTTTGCTTATCTGCGGCTCTTGAGTTTGTCAAAAGCAATTGTTTGACTTGACTTGACCGGGCTAGCACATACACAAGCACTCACACATACACACACTTATCCGTATAGCCAAAAACAATGACAGTGCCAAAAACCGGAACAAAGAGCTTCTGAATCATCACACTTAGAAATCATTTGGTTAATAAGAAAAACTTACAAAGAATTAAAGACAAATTTGATGTTAATTTATTAATAAATTCCCATAAAAACATTCTTACAACTTACTTAAAAAATAAAACAATTTAATGATAACTTAAAGACTGAGTTGACTTGCCATTTAATACCCTCAAATTTTCCGAGTGCATTGGGAACAACGGCAGCAGCATTTGACGCCATTTGTTTTACTTCGCTGACCACAAATAACCATGGCCCGATGTTGTGCTGTTTTGGCCAGCTTGTTGCCCCCCTTTTTGGTGGTCCAAACATTTTCCAGTTGCTATTGCCGCGTCGTCGCTAACCGTTTGTTGTTTGGCCCCACGGCCCTTGCGAGAGAGTGGTGTTTGGCCCTCTGGAGTTGCTGGTCAGTTGCTGCCCCAGACGCAGTGGCACCCGCTTTCCCATCCTGCCGCCACTCTACTCCCACATCGACAGTGAGTTATGTTGTACATATGAGCCCCAAGGAAATGCTGCCCCAGCAGCAACGCCTGCAGCAGGGCAGCAACATCAGCAGTCAGCATGAAGTATGCAGCATGCAGCATGCAGCATGCAGCATTCAGCAGGCAGCATTCAGCAGTAATAGCATCAGCGACATCGCAGTGACAAGTGCTCAAGTCGAGTGCAGCTGCTGCGATTCTGGGATGTTTGTGTTCTTGCCGCAGGATTCTAGTTCAAATTCGATAGATCGCTTTAGCAGAAGCTTATTAATGAAAATCAAATGCTTACCTCATAATCAAACTTAAAGGTTTTCCACAAAGGCAAAACTATATTAGTTTAAGCCGTTCTCCTTAAGCGTTCTCCTTAGGAATTGTTGGCCAAAATGAACGCTGGCTGGAAATGAAATCAAAGTGGGCGTCTATTAACGCCAACAGCCATCAAGAGCAGCGACGGCCATCATCATTCTCAGTCTCTGTCTCCATCTCCATCTCCATTCCAGTTGCAGTTCCATTTCCTTTCCCACTGTCATGGCCATATTCATTATCATTTTTAGCCCGGTCAGCGCGGCAGGCAAATTTGCCAGGCAGCCAAATGCCAGACCATTGGCAAGTGGCAAGTGGCAAGTGGCAGGACGAACAGGACGAAGGTATTAAGTGCTGAACTGGTTGCATCCCGACGGCTGAAAGCAATGGACCTGCTGCAACGGCTCCTCCTACTCCTCCTCATGCTGGCCATCTAATTTTCAGCTCCTTGTCGCAGCACCACAACAATCAAGTGGCATGATTGCTAAGCAGCATAATGCCATTTATTGCCACAACAAGCCCCACAGTTGGGCGTTGAGTTCAGTGTTGCACTGCCATTGGGGAGATGCTTCTGGCGGGAAAAGCTCACCGTTAAGAGAAGCTCAAGATTTGGTAGTTAAAACTTAAATCAGTTAGGGAATACAGATATGGATATAGGATATGAAATAGTATAGAACTCTCTACTGGTTAGCTTCTTTCTTTTATGCCTTTTAATCTCACATCCGCTTCTGTCAAAAGTCAAACACCAAGTGTCTTTTCAATTTTCGTCCATCTCTCTCCCCGCTTGTCCGAGAGCGAGACGGATGTATATACAAAACGATCTCTTCAAGCTAACTTACATGATAGAAAGAGATAACAGTATATATGGGTAATATTTACAGCTAAGTTGTTTCTTAATTTAGCTTACAGTGGGTCTTATACGAACACGTCATGCTAAAAGTTGTACAGTGGGCCTTAATAGTACTTTTCCTAACACAGATATAGCTTAGGTCTAGTATGCTTAATATACTAACTAATTAGTAAGAGTTGCTAAGAGAAGCTGTCTATATCTCTCAACTTGCAACAGAGTTACCTTCTTGTTCCACTCCTATCCAATATAAAACCTATTTAAATTCTTAAATGAATCTAAAAATCTATTTTAAAATCCCGCTAAAACATAACCAAAATAGTCAAAATAAAAGCTAAACCGTCTGCACTGGCTACGCGGTCCAAACTCCTTTTTCCTCGTCGAAACTTCGCCCGCATTCGCATTCATGGGCTTCTTCACAATATGCTAAACGGCCAGCCATCGCCCAGGATCGTGGATCCAGCGCGGGGAAATGGCGGGTATAAAGGATGCTGATGCTGATGCTGATGTGGATGTGAAAGTGCGAAGGAGCCGTTGGTGGAGCCAATGCAATCATAATTTTAACTACTTTAGTTTTATTCCACCCCCAGCTAGCTGCTAGCTGCTAGCAGCTCCTGCACTTAGTTCTATTATCCTGGCGCTTTGTTCGTCCTTTTGGTCCGCTTTCTCCTCCTTCTCCTCCTCCTCCTTCTCCTCCTCTTTCTTTTTCCTAATTTCGCGCGGCCACAATAAAAAGCCAATGGCATGGGGCGCCAACGACAGCCGGGAGAAGTCGATGTGAAAATGAAAATATAAATTGCCTTTGTGCACTGCGAGAAATTTTTTTGAATTGGATGTGGCTGTCAATGCCGCGGGGGGAATTCCGTTGGTTAAATTATAAGGTATGAAGGATAACTTGGCATTGAAGGTTGATTGGGTGACTTTTTTATAGATGATTAGGGATAAACTTTAAGGATAATGAACATTCTTAACAAGGTTTAAGGTTAATAAAAGATGCATTAAGTTATTAAAACTTAAAGGTTATTAAAGTTGCATTATTACTTAAATATCTTTTATTTTTTATGCTTTACAAACACAATTTTTAGCTGCGGTTAGTTTGAAAAATATGGTCAATGATTTTAAAATGAAAAAGACATTTTCTACAAATTCTATTTTGAAAGTACTCCCATATCTTAGAACAAAAGTTCTTTGATTTTAAACTTAACATGGTATATGCACAGTATTAAGCTGAGGAAAAGCTTGAAAATATCTCAGTAAAGTACACTTATCATGTTGTCTTCTCCCCAAATTTACATATATATAACATATATATAGAGAAAGCAAATTAATTATCCAAGAAAATGATTCTATTTCACATTTAAAAATGCTAAATTTAAAGACATGACAATAGCCAAGACATATTTCCACATTTCAAATCCATAGCCCATAGATTTTACACTTAAAGAACAGCAAAATTAAACATAAAATTTAGGAATTTACAATATAAATAAAATTTAGTTAAAAAAGAGTATTCAAAACGTAAGTCAACCCAGCCAGAATTACTTACCATAACGAGATCCTTCGCCCAATGCAACAGCTGAGCAAGCAGACGTGGCGAATTTCAATTCGTTTGTGGAAAGCTTTTTGTGGCTTCATTAGCGCCTTGCTGGCGACTCAGTGGGTCAGGGATAAGGGGTTTTTTTTTTGGAGTCAAGGGAATGGGGGAATGGTAACGGGTAATGGGTAACTGGTAACTAGAACTAAGAATGGGACTTGGGGGTTTGATTAACACTAACAACAGCTAGCCGAGGGCAAATGCAGGAGGCACAAAGCCAAAGCTTTGGCCAGCGAGAAGAGCAATCAAGGCGTATGGATTTTAATTAATTTTCCCTGCTGCAGAATTTTTAATTAAAAAACTTGAGCGTGGCCAGGCAAAGGCGTTTAGTGCCGGGCATGTCAAATGCAATTTTATTCCAACGTCCTTGTAGGCTTATATTTTGAATTACATTCTTTTCAGGCGAAAATGCATTCATTATTGGGAAACTATCTTATTAGTAATCATGTAATGTCAATCAAAATCAAATCATGATCGGAATGTAACAGAGCTTTGACCTTCACATCCCATAAATCCCAGACTAATCAACCTCTTTCCCATTTCAGTGCTAGACTGCCAGGTGGCTGATTGGGGCGCCTGGAGTGAATGTGACAAGAGCTGCGGCACTGGGATGATGACGCGGAACCGCCAGATCCTGCAGGCGGCCCAAAACGGTGGCAAGCACTGCCCAACCTTGCAGCAGAAGCGCAGTTGCCAGGGTTACCGCTGCCATGGACACCACGACAAGAAGATACTGCGCGGTGAGTAGCAACCATTGGCCAACAATCTAAGGGTGTCTTCACCAGGATTTTTTGATAAGTTTTCTGGCTTAGATAAACCTTAGCTAAGCTTTAAGATAACTTAAAAGGTTTCTTTTTTTGTTAAGGTTTCTAAACACAAACCATTAGCTTTCCCTTCTTGCTTTGTCAGCTGATAAATAATTATAAAATATTTGAGCTTGGCAACAATCTGGCTAAAATGAAATTAAGCAAGCCCTCCCCTTCTCTTGCCTTCTAACTCCAAACTTTAGACGTCATAAACACGCTGATTTGATCATCCTGCAACCCTTGACCCGCTCCCTGGCTCCTTGCAGGATATCTTTTGTCCCAACACGACATTGCACGCCAAACAAAGATGCGGGGCAAAAAGCTTGTGCACCTAAACCAGACTAACTAGACTGACAGGGGCATCAAAGACCTCTGATGCACTCCCGCCATCCATTGTTCTGGCATTGGTTTTTCAGGAGGGGGCGAGGGGTTGGACCAGAAAGGGGTTTGTGGAAAGTTGAAACCCTTTCAAATTGCCTCTCGCCTGCTAAACACAGAGATATCAGTTTTGGGTAGTCAATTCAATTTGTTATATATTTTATTTTAATATTATCAATAAGCCATTGTTTAGAAATCTTAAAAATAAATGTGAATACATAAAAGCTTTGGGTAGGTAAAGTAGTTCTTTTATTTCGAAATCTATTATTTTAGAAAAGCTTACAAAAAGTTGATAACTTTTTAAATTTTTTAATAAACAATCTTCTTAAATAATCTTATTTATAAAATATAAACAAACATTTGCCTAAATTAAATTTTAAACATTTTTAAATATTTTTTCAAATTTTACAAAGTTTTTCACATTTTTGGTTAAAATGGTCTTTATTAAAATACAAAATGAGAATATATTTACTTTTTTTTTTAAATATGTAAAAGTATTTCTAATTCTTATACTGTACTCTTACTTAATACTTGTCTATTAACTAAAAAACATTTTTTTTAATATTTACAAAAAGATATTCAAAGAAAAGTTAGGCTTAAGTTTACTTTTCTAAAAATTAAACCTTTCCAAAGATTTTTATGATAAAAATTAGTCAAATTAACATACAAACAAGTTTTCTAGGAGCTTCTTTTACACTTCTAAATACACTTTAAAAGGTTCCCTAGTAATTTCTCCCTGTGTAGTCGCCTCCACATAGCCAAAAGCCGAGGCAAAAACGGATCTGCCAAACTCCGAACAAGAAGGCCAGAGTACGTGAAAGAAAGCAGCGGCAGCAGCAGAAGCGTCTGCGGGAGAAAGGGCGTGAAAACTGGAAAGTTGAGAGGTGGGCGTGGAAAAACTGAAGGCGGACAAAAAATTGCCATAGAACACCAAACAAGCCACCTTCTTTTCTCTACCACCCCCCATCCCTCTCTCATTCTCTCACTCTCTATCCAAAGCAATTTTCTGCAAGTGGCTGACATAAAAGCCATATTATATTTGGCTAAGTGTCACCGCCGGCTTAAAAACACAGACAAAGAGTGAGAGAGAGGGGGGGAGAGAGTAGGGGAAAACTATTAAAATATCGCTGCGAAAGTTTTTGTTTATGTTTTGGGTCGCCTGCGCTCCATTAGCCTTGGACGTGCCCACTCAGCCACCCACCAACCCACACACTTGTTTGGTTTTAGTTTTGCCTTCTGGTTTGCCATTTTTTCCTCTACTTTTCCGCTTTTCCGCTTTCCTGCTTTCCAGCTCAGCACATGTGTGTACCGCAGAAGAACTCTTTAAGCGTTTAATTAAAACTTTGATTGCTGCCATTAAAATATTATTTAGCGGCATGCAGAACCAGAAGAACCAGAAGAATGGACCTGCCAGCTGCATAGATGAATGCTTTTGATTGGAGGAGCGGAACGGGTGAAAAAAGTCATTATTAATTGGAACGAGGGACAACATTGTTGGGGAAAATCTGTTGGAAAAACATGGCCATACATGGCTATACATTCTCTTGGGCACTTTAAAGTTGGCCATTCGGGCACCTGGAAGATATTTAATGGAAGGCAAATTCAATTTCAAGCTGGGAAACGTGCCAAAGCAGAATTATTAATATTTTCCGCTCATTTAGGACAAAGTTTTTACTATAAAAAGTGGTCTATAATGTTCTAATAGTTCTTATCGGTTTTGTATATATTTTAGGAGCAGATAATTAAGAGTGGAAAATATTTTACAAAATATTTACATTTTCAAACGAAAATCCAGCCCTAATGACTTGCCCAAAATTGTTATTATCAAATTAAATTCGCTGAAGGTAACTCCCACAGGGGGGCGATGTTGTTTTAAAGCTAAAATCGATTAAACATAATTACATATTTAATTACAATTATAATCGGAAAAGGACGAATGCCGAATTTGGAATTAATTGAAGGAATTTGATAAAAATTTTGCATGCAATCGGAAGTTTTTAGTAGCAATTGCAAATGCAGCTGATAAAATCCCCTTTTCAAATGAAATGAAAATGATTAAAAATGAATTTATAATCATATGGCCAGAATATTGTATTTTTGCTAATTTCAATTGCCATGAACTGGGAATTTCCAAGGGGATTAAAAAATATAAACTTGACAAGACAAATTTCAAACCGAAAATAAAGCCAAATATATTTAGTGCGGAAACGAAATCGGAGTCGACATGATAACCCCTGCTGCTACCGCATTCCAACCTGTTTCATAATTGGTCCGCAATTATGTATATCCTGGCTAACACACACACACAAATACACACACAGATACAAAGATTCATTTGCGGTGTCCTGGGCTTCTGGGGAGGAAATGTTAATTAAGGCGTTTGCTCGGCTTCATGTGTGTGTATGCCTGTCCAGCTGTGTGTGTGTGTGTGTTTAACGCTCATAATGCGCTTAAGCTGTTTATTGTTTTTAGCACTTCCCACTCCCCCTGTCGACCACGCCCCCGCACACAACCACCATTGCCGCCTCCTTGTGTGGGAGGAAGTGCCGTTGTGTTTGTGCTGCAAATAGCCGACAGACAATCGCCGCAGGACTAGCGAAAGAGAAACAGATACAAGGATATACATGGCCACAAATATGGACGGGAAAATCTGGTGTCTTCTTGTGTGTTTCTATAGTAATTACAGCGCATTAAAAACGTCGTTTAAAAAGCAATTGTGGCGAAAATCGAAGGTCTTTGTGGTTTTGCTACCTTGGGAAAAGGAAACCAATGAGCAATTTGGACCAATTTTCGCATTTTTGATAAGGGGTACCATCATCAAAATTTTCAAAAAATGGGCCCAAAATGAAGTTTCCCAGATTTGAATGCGAATCAATTGGAAATCATAGCAATCAAGTTACGAGGCCTACGAGCTATTACATTCCTCATTTGGACCATTTTTGGCTGTGCTATGGCTAAAAAACTGATTTTTTTCCGCCCAAAATCAAGTATACGTCCTCCGACAGCAGAGATTCCGGACTTGTTGCCGTCTCTTAGCTCTAACTTTGTCAAAACAAGACGCACGGTTAAAACGGTGACTGTTTTGTGCAGCTAACAACCAAATCTTTACTTCCCTATACCCACTTTTCACATAATTGCTCTGCACTTTTGCTGCGAGCTCTGATTTAATGGCTAAAAAATCAAAATTCCATATTTTATGCGGTTTTTTAGCTCTAGCTCAGCCAAAACAAGACGCACAGCCAAAAGAACGACTGTTTTGTGCTGCTAACGACCAGCACTTACCACCCCTATCACCCGTTTTTCGATTTTGGGAAAGTCAATTTTGGCCCAATTTTCGCATTTTTGATAAGGGGTAGATGAAGTAATGAAGGTAAATGAAGTTTCCCAGATTTGAATGCGAATCAAGTGGGAATCATAGCAATCAAGTTACGAGCCCTACGAGCTATTACATTCCTCATTTGGACCATTTTTGGCTGTGCTATGGCTAAAAAACTGATTTTTTCCGCCCAAAAATCAAGTATACGTCCTCCGACAGCAGAGATTCCGGATTTGTTGCCGTCTCTTAGCTCTAACTTTGTCAAAACAAGACGCACGGTTTAAACGGTGACTGTTTTGTGCAGCTAACAACCAAATCTTTACTTCCCTATACCCACTTTTCACATAATTGCTCTGCACTTTTGCTGCGAGCTCTGATTTAATGGCTAAAAAATCAAAATTCCATGTTTTATGCGGTTTTTTAGCTCTAGCTCAGCCAAAACAAGACGCACAGCCAAAAGAACGACTGTTTTGTGCTGCTAACGACCAGCACTTACCACCCCTATCACCCGTTTTTCGATTTTGGGAAAGTCAATTTTGGCCCAATTTTCGCATTTTTGATCAACAAAATTTTCAAAAAATGGGCCCAAAATGAAGTTTCCCAGATTTGAATGTGAATCAATTGGGAATCATAGCAATCAAGTTACGAGCCCTACGAGCTATTACATTCCTCATTTGGACCATTTTTGGCTGTGCTATGGCTAAAAAACTGATTTTTTTCCGCCCAAAATCAAGTATACGTCCTCCGACAGCAGAGATTCCGGACTTGTTGCCGTCTCTTAGCTCTAACTTTGTCAAAACAAGACGCACGGTTAAAACGGTGACTGTTTTGTGCAGCTAACAACCAAATCTTTACTTCCCTATACCCACTTTTCACATAATTGCTCTGCACTTTTGCTGCGAGCTCTGATTTAATGGCTAAAAAATCAAAATTCCATATTTTATGCGGTTTTTTAGTTCTAGCTCAGCCAAAACAAGACGCACAGCCAAAAGAACGACTGTTTTGTGCTGCTAACGACCAGCACTTACCACCCCTATCACCCGTTTTTTCGATTTTGGGAAAGTCAATTTTGGCCCAATTTTCGCATTTTTGATAAGGGGTACCATCATCAAAATTTTCAAAAAATGGGCCCAAAATGAAGTTTCCCAGATTTGAATGCGAATCAATTGGGAATCATAGCAATCAAGTTACGAGCCCTACGAGCTATTACATTCCTCATTTGGACCATTTTTGGCTGTGC